AAGCGCCTGGTTGATGATATGACTTTCGCTATTGACATTGTCTGTAATTAACAAATACACTAAATAGGAAGATTTATTATGCAACTTCATAGGCTAGTCGCTTCTCTAAGCGGACCCCCCGCGTCCTATCTCTTATGTTAATTAACTTTCTGAATTCTCTAATTGAAGTTTATTTAATAAATAACTGAAATCTCTAATCTACCTAAGCAGTGGCTTATCAGAGAGGGGAAGCTTAGTAATCCCCATTGCCTGCCCATGACGCCATTCTATCGCGGCATGAGCCAGCAACGCCGACCATAAACCTACCGTCTCCAACACTCCACTAGCATGAAATTAAGCCCGCCCACCAACAGCAAGGTGCAAAAACTAGCCAAGGGGAGGGGGAAGCATAACCCATGTTATTGTTTTCATTTGTTAAATAGTTCAGATAGGCTAAAAATGATGGCCCCTTTCACTGATCACATTAGAAATCAAGTTCACTCTTTCTTCTTCCTCAATTCACACATATTTTAGTTTAATGCGTGCTCTCAACTGTGTGCTAGGTGCACTTCCACAGTTATTAATTAAAAGCTTTCGATGTCTGTACCATTTTTGGATTAATGTAATTGTGTGGCAAGTACAATCATACTCTATGCCCAGGGAAGTCAAGACATTTTCCAACCCGAAAAATTCTTACACCGGACCATAAATCAAACCCAGTCACCATGGTCTTGCTTTGTAGCTACGCCTTTACCAACTGAGCTAAGGGATGCCTCAAATCAGGTTAACGTCGTTAGAAAAAATATTTTTTACATCTAATTTCATCATCTTTTTGCTCTAATATCATAATATCGTAGTATGCCGAGCAGCTCGGCATTTTATTTTGCTGTATCTTAGTGAAAAACTTGCCGAGATTTAGCAAAAAATATTTATGTTAACTGAGCTCTCGGCAAAATTCCCGTTTGTTAGCTGAATCTCGGCAAGTTTTTCACTGATATACTGCAAAATAAAATGCCGAGCAGCTTGGTGGTGTCCATCGCGGTAAAAAATCTAATAGCGAATTTGTTTATTATTCAGTTCCAACCTGGATCGGGTATCAAGATCGGGTCTGCTTGTTTTCTTGCAAACGTCAGTTTGATCGTTTGTTTTTAAAACCTACACACAAAGAATTATCATTTATAAAATTAAAAAAACCATTGGTAGAATTAAAAGTTTTCGTTGGTTCTTTTTGGTAGAAAGTCCAAAGCAGTCATCATAAAAATGTGTAACCTGTCAAATCAAAAGTTTACGTCCTCGATAAATTTAAAAGCTGAAGCTTTTGAATCAAATTGTAGAACTGTCAAAAGGAAAATCAATGTTTTTAAAATAAAGTAGAAATTGTTTCAGTTCAAAAGGAGTCGTTTTTATCATGACAATATATGTTTTTATCTCAAATTTGAAATATTTTCAGATTAATAGTTTTCAAAATTTATAAAAATTGGGTACTCATATTTACATGATTTATAAAAATAAAAATAATGTTTATTCATATATTTTATAAACAAAAAACAAAATCATACATTGTTAAAATTACCAGAGCAAATTTGGTCCGAGTCCTAGTAAACAAAAGAAGGTATTCGGTCTAACCTCGGGTCCACGGCATTTTCGGAATTTTCCTCGTTCAAAATGACGATAAACAAAAGGAAGGCGATGATTACGAAGAGTGCTTATCCCAATATCACTCCATGGAAACGGCATTCTTGACGACGTCTTCCTGCTGGAGCAACATTGTTCTCCATGAACTGACTATAAGGAATCTACAAAAACAAAAATACAACCTTTGAAATACAAGCCACAACCATTGCATACCACAAAAGTGGAACACTCACCGTAGCAATATCCAGCAGAATGGTGAAGACATTCATAAATGTCATCAGCATCGATTGGAGGTAGTTTTCGTACACTGATTCCACCGTAAAATGCTTTTTTTTTACTTCGTCTGGTCCACTCAAATTCAATTTTGGCGGCAAATAAAGTTGGGTTCAGAGCTTCAGTGCTGCCAAAAACTTTGCTATGAACAGGTAATTTTGACAGTTGAACAACTTTCATAAAAACATAATGCACTTTTAAAATCACAAGTCCAAAGTGAAAGAAAAACTTTCAAACCAAAGATATAACTTTTATTTTGAAAATTTTCACATTTAAAACAACGAAATTTGGGAAACTTTCATTTTGAAATTGCATTATTTTTATAGCAACAATTTTTGTTTTTTGTGTGTAGCTCAGGTTGAGGTTCGCACTGACAAAAAGTTCGGTTTCGCACTGGGTTGGAACTGGTTCCAACCCCGATAATAAACAAATTCGGTATAAGTGTGTACATTATTAGCAATGCTGTGATATAACCACAACGGTATGGCCGTTTTGAATGGTTCAACGGATGTGAAATGAGAGATCATTTAAATTTAACAAAGTTCTTCAATGTAAACATTCATTTTTTGACAAACAATTCTAGATAGAGCTGGAATTAGGGCCTAACAGCTTTTGTAAACAATGACTTCTCTTGATGATTTCAGTGCCAACATTTCAAAGGGGCGTTATTGCTTTTGTAAACAATGACTTTAGCCGTCAATTTCTCGCGAATGAAATCTTACCTCGCCAAAATAACAATGCTAGCTGGTAGAGGAAACATTCCTCTGCCTGCTGGTGTTATTATTTTTCATGAGTGAACTTTTATTCGCGAGAAATCGACGGCTAAAGCCATTGTTTACAAATGCAATTACGCCCCTTTGAAATGTGAAATGCACTGATTTCTAGAAATTCAAGGCTCGCCCACGCAAACCAACATCCTCATCGGGTAAGGAAAGACTTCCCCTATCCGATGGTTAGGTTGGTCTGCGTGGACGTGCCTTGAATTCCTAGAATTCATCGATAGAAGTCATTGTTTACAAAAGCTGTTACGCCCTAATTCCAATTCTATCTAGAATAATTCTAGATAGAGCAGGATTTAGGGCGTAACAACTTTTGTAAACAATGACTTCTCTCGAAGATTTCTAAGAATTCAATGCCAGCTTACGCAATCCAATACAACCATCGGGTAGGGGAAGTCTTCTTCTACCCCATGGTGATGTTGATTTGCGTGTAGAAATCATCGAGAGAAGTCATTGTTTACAAAAGCTGTTACGCCCTAATTGGGTTCTTTAAGGGTATTGAGGTAAATGCATATTCGTAATCTTCATTGAAAATTGAACCCAAACCCAATATTTCATCAATTTTGGTACACTGGAACTATTTTAAATAAGTACGATTACATTTACAAAAATCACCTTATTAGCGCCCCTCGGTGTCACTTTGTATGGGAGCGAGCTGTCAGTTTGTCAGTTTAGTGTCAAACAGTGAAGTTATTATTTTGCTTTAAATCTTGATTTAAAAATCGAGATGAAAGCGTGTGGGCTCGAAAAAAAATATCGCTATGCTCAGAAAACGAAACTCTTTCAGATGATATATAATAACCGATATATTTTCAAAATCAAAACAATTTCAGTTCTATCTAGAATTAACACATTTTATAATATGCTACCTTAACTAATTTCTGGAAGCATTTGTTTGTGTTTTGTATACAAATATTATCAATGTTCCGTCATACCAGCGTTGACAATCACAAAATTTTCGATCAAGATCGAGTATTCCCGAGCAAATATTGCACAACTTTTAAGCAATCTGAACCGAACTCTGTTGCGTTTTAAACCATTTTAAATATATCTCCTTTTCAATTCACCCGAAAAATAGCGACCATGCGACCTGACTAAGGCTCTAAAAAATAATAATAATATCGCACAACATCATGAAGGTCACAAACCTATGCACAAATGCTCTTGGGCACTCCTGGACATTACAAAAATAAAAAAAAAACACTCGCTCCCAAGTAGTCTGTGTTGGTGAAATATACCACCGTAGACTAAAGTCCTCTAAGGCTCTGTTCCATTTGGAAAATTTTCATTTAAATTTGACACTACGAAAATAAATTAAGATGTTCAAAAATTTCTCTATTGTTGATCGACCAATTTTCGAGAAACTGTCTGTCAAAATTGATTGCTTGTCTGTCAGAAATAATCCAGCAGGTTTATTGGAAAATTTTCCATCAGTCAAATTTAAGTGAAAATTCACCAAATGGAACAGGGGGCAACCCTGGCGTAGTTGTTAACATCCATACCTCTCACGCCAAAGTCACGAGTTCAAATCTCACCCCGGACAAGTCACGAATGACCCAAGAGTGTTAAAGTGACTATAATAAAAAAAAACCAAATGGAACACATCCTATGGCTCTGAACCATTTGGTGGATTTTTTTTTAAACTTTTGGTTAAAACTGGACATATGGAAATTTATTTATTAGCCCTGCTATCCGAGCGTGCTTATTTCTGACAGACAAGAAGATTAATTTTGACAACCGTGGCTGAGTTCTGCTTGAAAACCGACCGATCGGTAACACAGGGATTTTCGAACATAAGAAATAACTTTCAAAATGTCACTTTCAACCACGAGTTAAATTTAACTCGGCAAATGGTTCACAGCATAAGTAAAAGTTTGGAAGTCTGTCAAAAGTTGGTCCAATCGAACCGTCAAAATGCACTACTTTGCTCGATTGGAATAACTATTTCCAGTTTTGTGGTTACAGTCGTCCATACTTATACTAAAGTGCTTCACCGTAGGCCGGGTTGAGGCATACACACATACATCATAGCCATACCACAGACAAACAGACTTATCACTTTAAATAAATGCTCCTTAAATATATCGTCACGGAACTCACTAACAACATCTCGCGAGCTATTCGCGGAAATAAGTTTGCTTGCCAAATCTCAAAGAATATGGCATACAAGTTCGATAGAATGTATAGAAACGTCACAGTGCCCCCACTGTGACGTCGCACTACTAATAATATTTAAATAGATCGTTAAATGCGTGCACGACGATTGAGGAGGAAGATATACGTCTGTTTATCTGTGGCCATAGGGGGCACTTTGATGGGTATGTGATTGCAATATATAGTTGAGCTTCGACCTCAATAAATCATTTCTGTTCCAAATATATTCATATTTTTTATGGATCTGACACATTTTTGGAAACCGGAAATCGCCATATTGAATTCTAGGCATTGATTTCCGGTATCCACATGCAATTCTCATATCAAAAATACCAATAAGAACTTTGCTATAGACGGAAACATTCTAGATGCTGATGAGTTCAAGATGCATAGTATAGAGGAAGTTCTCATGCACATTAGCACCTATTGGTGCGATAATTCTAAACTAATATGTCTTGCACTCCCTGAATAACTCCAGAAATCAAACGGCGCATAAAAAGGGAGCAGTGTATCTGGAAGGAAGTCATCGGTACGAAATATCGCTACGTAGGTAACAATATTTATTCAACAGAACACATGAAATGGCCTCCACCGCAATTACCTGTAGCAGGAATTAGCATGAAGCCCCCGATCCATATAGTCGGTCCCACTTCACGTACTGCGTCAGATCGTTCGGTGAAACACTGGCCCGAACTCGTCCCAGCGCCGCCTTGAAATCTTCATGACAAACCGGTCTCACATCTTCCTTCTCAATTTGGCCAAGCTGATCGAACGGAATGGATCGGATCGGTCCCATGGACGCTTCGTGGCACAGCACTTTCATGTCTGCACCGGAAAACCCATCCGTAAGTTGACCGATCTCGGTAATTTCCTCGGAAGAAAGTGAATTTTTTTCGTTCGCTAACAAGCGGGCTAGAATCTGCATTCGAGCGCGTAGTTCAGGCAATGGAATGTACAAACGTTTAACAAGCCGCCGACGGGCAGCTTCGTCCAGCTCTTGAGGACGATTTGTGGCACCAACGATGAGAATCCGTTCATCATCTGCCGTGGCTGCTCCGTCCAGCTGGACAAGAAATTCCGTTTTCAGTCTCCGTGAACTTTCATGTTCCGTTTCCGACCGTTGGCATAGAAGGGAATCAATTTCATCAATGAAAACAACCGCAGGTTGATGCACCGAGGCCACCGCGAAAAGAGCTCGCACCATTTTCTCGCCATCCCCAATCCACTTGGACGTCAGGGAGGAAGCACTAATGCTAAAGAAGGTCGATTTCGATTGCGACGCAATGCATTTTCCTATCAAAGTTTTTCCCGTTCCTGGTGGACCAAACAGGAGGATTCCTCTTGGAGGTTTGCGCAATCCAGTGAAGATATCCGGTCGCAGAATAGGCCAGACGATCGCTTCTTGAATGATCGTTTTAGCATAGTCTAGTCCTGCTATGTCTTCCCAGGTTAGAGGAGAAAATCGATCCATTATTTCGCTGCGGATAAGCTCGACCATTTTAGGATCTATGTGACGTAGGCGTTCGTCTATCTCTTCGTCCTGACTGTCTTCTTGACTGTGGTGAGATGAACTCGGTGAATTGGTCACGGGCTTACTCGTTCCGTCTGGACCATCGTTGCGAACTGGACACACAAATTTACTCCCCAGCGTACGGCGCCCTCCGAGAGACTTTTTGCCATAAGAGAACAACGGCGTTTGTCCTGGCGGATTGGCGTTGCCATATTTCTGTTGTTAGAATAATTCAATAAACTCATTCCAATTAATTATATGCTTCATTTTAAAATTACCTTAATATTCTGAATCTGCAATTCATCTTTAGCGGTTCGAAAATTGCTTCCTTCAGGCTTATTTCCTTCTGCTATCGAATTATCACACCTTCTTGCTGTTTCAGTAACAGAATCGGTACAGTTATAACTTTTTGACGTTGTTGGCACTTTCGGAGTAAAGCCTCTCGAAGGTGGAGCGAATACCCTACGAGATATTTCTTCCAAAGCCACCGAACCAACCCGGTTGTTTCCGAGAAGATTTGTCGGGCTTTCTTTGCATGGCTCAAATTTCACTGGATTAGTTACAGCCTCTCTGTTGGTTTCCATCTTTTGCTTGCATGACGGTCGTAGAACATTATCACTATCAGCGAAAATAGATTTAACCGTCGGATCATTCAACTCCCAACTGGTGCAATCTTCAAATCGACCCCTGCACGATCGTTCCCGCGTCAAGTAAAATAATGGGTCGTCTAAAGCAATTTCCGTTATTTCCACATCTTCCTCAGCATCTTCGTCCTGTTGAGTGACCAGAAGTTGCATCACCTCATCGCAGTAATTGTTAACTGAATCCGGATCAATCACCGCGTCCTGATAGTCATCCAAATGCGACTGAAGCAACGAACATGCAAATTTTTCATCGTTGCTTTTGAGAAAAAATAAACATTAATACGGAACCATGTTCCAAGTACACAGGATACCGATCACACTCACCTTTCCAGAGCTTCAGCAAACAGTTGCGATGTCACATTTCGTAAGATATCGACTTTTACGAAAGGATCCTCTATGTTTTGAGCTTCTTCAAGAGTTTGGAAGATTCTATACACATGAGATTCTCGTTTTGCCAAATTGTCCATATCAAAAATGGTAATCAGGTTTTATAATAGAAACAAGCTATTTTTTTACATTAATAAAATCATTCAAAACTGTGAAGGCTTTGCGCGCCTTGCTGTTTTATGTTTTGATTGCTTTCTGCTTTTTATGATCCGCATGCATAATATTATATGTGTGTTAGTGAGAATGATTGCAGTTGATCTAGATCAGAAGTGAAGCTAATAAATTCAAGGTTAATATACATGCGATTCTGAATCTACCCAGTGAAAAGGTCGTATGAATAAAAGCGTTTACTTTACTTTTCCCGTATTTATAAGAAAAGCACGGGAAAGTAAAGTCAACTCTTTTTATTCATACGGCCCACTGGGTAGAGTGAAGTGACGTTAACGCACGTACACTAGCGGGTGCATCGCCGTGTAAAGTTGTTTACTATTTTCCTCTGGCTAACCTAAAAATGTATGAAATTAGATCTGTCAAAATAAGTTTGACAGCGATTTGTTATGATTTTCCTAGGATTTTCACTAACATGCTCTCATATATGGCACCAATACAATCGGAAGTGAACATCTCAAGATGGCACCTCAGATGACCCACACGAAGAACAAATTATAGCAGACGCAATTATTTTTCTGGTCAAAATAACTATATTGTTCAATTGTTTTAGAGATAACCCGAAACTATAGTTGATTTGACTATATATATAGGGCAAAAACTATAGTCCATAGTTGGCTCCTCGGTTGGCTCAACTATATTTTTCAGTAGATGAACAAACGTCAAACTTCAAAATACAACTATGCTTTAGTTGATTCAAGAAAACTATTGTTAGGGAAGCAAAATTTTACAATGTTTATTAAACGAATTGCTCTTCATTATCGACATATTAAGGAAGTTTGTTTTGCTTCTTTATCGATCTCAAAAACACAACTGCAAAATCATAAAAAAAGGTGAACAAGAACATTCAACTAATATTTGAACCGTGTTCATCTGCATGAGAGCCAGCTATCTTATCGCCTGCTCTACGCATCACAAGTTAGGAGTATGTGGATTTATGATGATCACTTGAAACCAAATTATATAACTAAAATACATTTGACGGTTGTTATAATTGATCAAAGTTATAGTTGAGTTGAGTATAAGATGAACAGTTGAATCTATTAGGTAGATATGATTGAGTTGACGGTCAAATTAATGTTGGAATAACTATAGGTTTCTTAGTTGAAGATGCTAATTTCAAATAACAGACTGTAGTGGTAATTTTTATACGATAGATGGAGTAGATGAAAGCATAGAGTTGATAGTTCCGTTAGAGTACGGCAGTGTGAAGATTGTACATATATAGATATTAGACAAGCGAGCTAGGACAACTTTTAAGGAAGGTACAAATCGGTTTTTTCATCTCTCTTTACCAAACTCCCCCTTTGGAGAGGGATGGTGAGGGGTGCCCCCCCCCCCCGCCACCACTGGCAAAAATAGATGAAAACCGACCCGCTCAAGTACCAACTGTGTGCTTGAAACAGTTCTACCGATTTTTTACCGCACTTCAGTTGTTATTTGAAGGAAGGCATCCAGTCGTAGGTTTGGAAATTGCAACTATTGTTTACCCCTACCACGATATGTGCTCCTGTCATCGTCGACTTGACGATCTCGAGGGGACAGGGGTGGGGTAGGTGCTGCTACTGTACCTTTCGACCATTGACAGTAATTGATGGTATGCTCCCATCCAGAGTTATGAACTTTGACTATATGTTTTTTTTAGTATTACTTCTACGTGAAGTCAACGATTTACATAATTGAAATTAGCATTAGACCCGTGCTCTGAGCAATCATTCGGATCAATTTCAGGGACTGATTCACCTTCGCCGGGATCAAATAGTAAGAAATTCAGAGCGTGAAGAAACGTGTTGTCTGGTCTTACGGGTGAAGATATTTCGTTTTCCGTAATGGGTAACGCAGCTTGCTTAGAACGATGAGGCTGACAGACCATGCAGAAGCATGCTATATTTTTCACGTGCCGCAGAACTTTCATTCTTGATTTCTTTATGGCTTATTTTCAACGTTCGATGTAATCTGTATCGATGCAAGAGGGTCTTGCTTTTCGAAAGCCGTACAGTTGCGTCTAGGCTTTCTCCTTGTTGTTCAAGTGCCTGTTGAAGCTGTAAAACACAAACAAAATAGTTTTAAAATATGAACAAAGGCAGTTTTTGACACCCTCCCTCCCTCTAAATTGATGTCATTACTTAATACACGCAGTCACTAAAACCCCTTTCTCCTAAAAAGTGGACGTCATATTTTAATCGTCCTCGAAAACACTGTTTCCAGATTCAGAGTACCTTCTCCGTTACATTAATATTTTATTTACTTACCAACGCCCGCAAATCAGCAACATTTAGCTGATGTGCCGCCATTTTGTCCATTTCCCGACATTCTGCCCGTGACATTCTAGAACGAAATTTTTTGATACTAGTTATATTAATATATAAATATAATCATGGGAAAAAACAGAGCTACTTACTTTTTCCACGCTTTGCGATCGGCTGACTTATCTGCTTCCTTTTCGGAGGCATATTCACATTAAATTAAAGTTTTTTTTTTACTCAAAACAATATGCCTCCTGCACGTTTGCATAAACTTTTCTTACTAACGTACCCGCAGAATCAAGTTGGTCGATGCTCACATAACTCACGAACACTCAAAATGATTTGTCATAGTGTTCATCAAAAGTAGTACAATTAATTGAATATGTGTGAGTATTTTGCGGCTGTAAACATCATACATCGTCGTTATGAATGGTGGCAACATTTGACAGAAGGTGTCAGAATGGTTGATTAAGGTATCTACACGCAATTTAAAAACTGCACAATTTTGAGTAGGATCCACTCATATAGGTCATAAATATAGCTACTCAAAAATGAATAAACTAAGTGTGGAATGACAAATTGACAACATCGAGTTGCTCATTTTTCAACTTGTCAATCCCAACTTTGTGTAACTCAGTTTTGAGTAGCTTCAATTTCGACCGATATGGGTGGATCCGAATAAAATATGAGTAGTTTTGAAATAGCGTGTATATACCGTAAGCAACTAATCCGACATCTTCTGTCAAATGTTGCCACCACTCATAAATGCCCTTACCCTTGCTAGTTACAAAAAGAATTTACATCATTTATTAATTCCTCATATTCCTTAATAAGAATTTTGTTTTATTTTTTTCCCTTGTGATTTGTTTTCCGTCTATTTCTTTTCCGAACTAAGTATCAAACGCCAGGGAGGAAGTTCCCACACCTGGACTGCACCTATCGACCCATCAACTCATGAACCGGGGATCAACGGCTTTACTTCCCTTGATCAGAGATTTTCTGTCTCAGAAAATCTCGACGGCACCACTTGGGATTGAACTCAGGCCCTTTGGAGTGAGATACAGTTACCACTACACCACCGGCCGGTGTCGCTAAGAATTTGGTTGATTTTGATCAGAAAAAGCATGCTGCATTCTTTTTTGTTACAATGTGTCGATTCAGATATTGTTTCTTGAATTGGAAATTAGATCTCACTACTTCATGAAAAGCTCATCAGATTTTATTCGTTATGATGACAATTTGGATTAGAGTTACATTACATTTCAATAATGTGTAAGTTTATGACATGGTCATGATTTGCATCAAATAAGTTTTTTTCACATTATATCTCTTATAGTTTGAAAATACGGTATTGAATTTCACAAACATTTATATATTAAATACACTACCACATATGATCATCTTCCCATATGGCATCTATTAAATATGGAACCTCACATCATTTTGTTCTCATATCATACAACATTGTCTGAATGATGTCACATATCGTTACAATACGGAATGCTATCTTTTAATAATTTTTAATTGTTTGATGAATTTAATCTTTTATTGGCCAACATTAGTAGAACATTTTGTATTAATGTTACTTAAACCTTTGGTGCAACGTTATAGTTTGGAATATAACACATATCGTTTTTTACTATGCGGGTAACTACAGTTTCTTCCAAATCTGAGTAAATTTCGTATGGAAAGAAAATTTTCTCAATTATTCTCAGTTGCTGAGTTGGTATGATTGGCCGTGTAGATGCAGTAGCCTGCACGGTTAGAAAAAAGAACCCTAAAATTAAGTTTTTTTTCACTCATCTCGGCACTATAGACCTTTTTGACGTTTAATCGTCTTTCTCTATCTATCAGTTGGAGGCGAACCAGCCCAAGGCTGAAAGCCTCCTTAATAAAGCTAAATAATAATAATAATAATCTTTCTCTATCTAGCGCACATCAATGAATTGACGGTTTGTTTTCCCACTAATCTGTTTCCCTCTTGCTCCCACTCGTTCGATTTAAATGGTACAGTATTGGCAAATCAAAGTTGGCGCTCGTAAATGCTTTTATTTTGCAAATGGAACATTTTATTTAAATCTGGTTGCTGCTACAGTGGTAGAAAAGCTCAAATCTATGTGTACACCTAAAAATCTGAAAAGAAATGAATTTTTCTATATTATTTGTCTATTGAGTAGTCCTTAAGTTTTCTACTAACATAGCACCAACCAGATTTAAATAAAATGCTCCATTTGCAAAATAAAAGCATTTTAAGATTGCACTCGTATACTTCCCCGTGGAAAATTTTGAAACCATCATCACTTTTATAGTTCTCCTATTCTCCACGAGTACCAACTTTGATTTGCCAATAAAGAGCCTGAATGAATTCAGGCTCTTTAGTACAGTACTGTGCGCCGATTAAACGTCAAAAAGCTCTATAGTGCAGGAACCCAAAAGTAGGTAAAGCGGGTCAAAGTAATTTTCATTTACTTGTGTGCAATTCGTATGGAATTTCCCACTGGCTTTTTAACCAAAAGTTAGAGTCGGTTAGAGTCACGCCAAGAGTGAAGCCAAGTCTACCTAGTGAACTGTCAAACCGGCTACCTATCATGCAAAGTAAACAAACATTACGATGCTATGAAAGGTCCACGAAAGGTATTGCAATAAAATATAAAATATAATCGAAGAAATGATCATAAACACGCAGTGAGCATTAAATTGTCATGGGATACGTTTGGTAACGATCAGTAATGAGAATTTCTACTATTTTTTTGTTAAGATGATAGGACAAAATC